GGTATTGCTGTAAAGAAGATATAAAAACGGAATTCTAATGCAGGCCTGATCCCACACCCTGTGCTCTTCATTACTCTATGTCCTCCCTAAATGATATGTTTTTTAAATAAAAAGCTAAAACAAAACTATTAGTCGAGTACTTTAAAATCGCCACCACCTTAAAACTTTCCAATACAAAGCTTATTAGTAAATACAATATTTGCCCCCTTGCCCTGAAAAAGACATAACCTTCTAGATAGCTGAAAATAAAAGGTAAGATCTTTTAACATTCATTCCTTAATTCTTTTCTCCTGTATTTGTATTTATTCTTCAGAGCCCCATCTTTTTTTTGTAAATCGTTAATTTTAAAAAAAGTAACAACAAAAACTATTTATTTTACATTCTTATACATCTGTGAAAGAAGAATTCACAAAGAGGTAAGTACCACCTGGAATGGTATTGTTCCTACATTCTTCCCCACAGGTACAAGCTCTTTTCTGAGTGATGTCCTGTCTAACCCTCAAAGATCAGTCCAAGTTTTATCTACTTTGTGCAGCCTATATCCATTTCTCCCTTCTAATTTAATTTGCATTTACTGTTTGCTATACAAGTACTTTATTGCATATTGGTACATACAAGTTTCCAAATAAGTTATTTGTTGAATTATATCTATCTCTAGTAACCAATTTAATACTTATTTTATAGAAACAAAGCAGTATCAGTATAATTTGTATTCTATCAGTATGCAATGTAAGATTATCGGCATATAATTGGCATAATATTACCTGGCTCACTAGTAATACCAAATGTATATGACTCATTTTCTCAAAGACACACAGACCATTTTTCTTTATGTGGTACCCCAGAATTGTTAGTATACAGATACATTGGGTATACTTAAGTAATAGCTGATGGTGAGTTGATCTGCGACTAGATAAATATCACCTTTACAAAAGTCCATTGAGCCCTGGTTGATGTGGCTCAGTTAGTTGGACATCAGCCTGTGCACCAAAAGGTTGCTAGTTTGATTCCTGGTAGGGGGGCATGCAGGAGGCAGCAGATCGATGTTTCACTCTCATATTGATGTTTTACTCTCACATCGATGTTTCTCACTCTCCCTTCCTCTCTCTCTACGAGTCAATACAAATACATATTTTTAAAAGTCCAATGGCCAGGCCAGTGTGGCTCAGTGGTTGAGTATCATCCCATGCACCAAGAGGTCAATGGTTCAATCCCCGGTCGGGGCACATGCCTGGATTGTGGGCTTCTAGCTGTCTCTCTTGCGCTCTCTCTCTCTCTCTCTCTCTCTCACTCACACACACATATTTTTAAAAGTCCATTAAATATTTCTGATTAAATAAAACATTTTCAAGAAAATCAAGACTTATTTGGATTAAAAGGTTATTAGTGTTTTGTTTTGTTTTTTTAATGTTTTCAAAATAGAGAACAGACACAGAGATTGTTAGGAGTTAGCAGTAACATATGAACATTTTACTGACAGGAATCCTGACAAGAAAATTAGTTTTTAAAAGTAGTAATAGTTGTTTGCTAGTTTTATGACTTTGTACAAAGTGACCATTCCTTTTGCCCCAAGGAAAGAATATAGTCATATTACAAGTTGAATTAACTACTAAATTTGCTGCTGGATCAAGTCCCAGTTGTGAGCTGAATATACAAGATAACAAAACATTAAGCTAGAGGGTGCCATGTGCCACTTGAGAACTGAGGTTTAAAATATTTGAATGTGTATGTTTTACAAAAACTAAAACAGAATCATAAAATCTACTTTACTGGTAAGTTTGGAGTAGAGCTCTCCATTTTAATTGTTACTATCATTGATTTTCACCTATATGATTTTTAAACATTTACAGAATTACATAATATATGAAGTGATATAGAGTGTTTATCATATTATATACTTGATTATTTATGTTGGTCTCAATGTTTGCCCTCAGTACGTCCCAAAAGCTAACAGGGATGAGTCTAAATTTTTAAAAAAAAATGAATAGAACAAATAGGATATGAGAAAAAAAATTAATATATAAAACCTACTATAAGAAGACAGAGAACTACTGAAAACTTATGAGAAAATGTGTAGCTTCTTTCCCTGACTAATGCTGAAAGGAGTGATACCTATCTACTTAAGTTAAGAGAAGTTCTTGTGATGACCTCTGGTCCTCTGCTACTGTGATGACCTGAGTCACTCTAATGATATCATTCATAACTGCCTACTTTAAAGAGCAAGTAAAACAGCTTGAGCTCTGAAATTTTATAAATTTAAACTTGAGATTTGCAAGCTTGTTCTGCTGCTTAAAAATGGTATGATTTGGGCAAAGTATTATCTTTGACCCTAATTGTTTCATCTTTTCATTGATAAAATGGAATAATAATAGTGCCTATCTCCAGAATTACTGAAAAGAATAAATGAGACAAGTTAAAATAATTATCACAATACCTGGCACACAGCAGTAATACCATAATGATACAGTCAAGTCACATAAAAAGAAATAACACATTATGAATTAATTGTGATTACAAAGAAAGAATCCATGCTTATCTATCATTCAAAAAGACAGAGATAATATTGAGATTTATAAAAATGGAAAAATAAAAATATACATGAAAGAGGTATTTAGAGAACATAGACCCAATTTAAATCATTTACATATAGACTGCCATTTTTAACTCTTGAGCTACTCATTGCCTTACTAAATATTTTGACAGCTTTGAGAAAGCAAGCGCAAGGAAGAGGAAGGCAGAGTCCTACGTTATTCAGTTTTACAAGTTTATATTCTTAACTTTAATGATTTAACTAGGAACACTGGCCATGTACTAGCATTTAACTTAGTTCATAGTTCTGAGGCATCTTGACACTGAGAATCATAAATTATAACCATACTCAGAACTTTACAGATGAAGCTACATAATTAACAAAGAAGTAGTCCTTATTTTAGGTAATATAATTGTAAAAATCTATAAGTTAGGTACAATGATATGAATTATCAACAATACATATTTATACTAATACTTAAATTTTTCAAAAATATTTTGACAAAATATTTTATGACAAAAAAGAACACACTTGTGATTTCAGAATTTTATATATATATATTTTTTAAATACTACATTTTACCACATGACAACAGTCATGTGATACAAGTATTTTTAAATGCAATGCATTCTTTTAATATGAATTATGATTAATTATAAGCAAACATTGCAAATTCCAATGTTGTATAATACTTAAACTAGGTTTGGAAACTAAAACTGCCATTTTAAAAACTATACACAAGATAACCAAAAATAAAATACATATTAATTTATTTACATTCTATTTTGAGAATGCTTTCTTTTATTGTATATAAGTTTATATTTTCCTTTTCAAAGTGGCTACCACCACATGAACCAACTAAGTATCAGAAAAAAATCTATTACACTAATACAAAATAAAACTCTAATTTTATTTAAAATTAAGCTTCAATTATTATCTGTAAACATTTTGGTAGGGAAACTTAATCAGATAATTCTGTTACATTTCTAAAATAAGAGTAATTACTTAAATGAGTTACTAAAATGTATGTTAATTATCAGAGAATTAAACTTAAGAAGCATTATACTGTACTTTAGTTCAGGAAACTAAAAACAAAAATCAAGGATTTTCAACTCCTTTTATCTATATCATTTAAGTAACAGTACACTTAGTTAAAAAAGTAAATTAAAATACAGGTATATAGCAAGTATTAGAAGTTATCTATTCTGAATTGCCTAGTATATCAACTATTCTTATTGTTTTTGTGGCTAGATTCTGTTTCTGAAAAGCTAAATCACATCTAATAAGATCACAATTTATAAAAGACCTCAATTTTTATTCATCATAATAATATGATATCAGCAAGTGTTTAACTTCAAATTCATGACAGATAAAAACTCCATGTTTTAACAGCTAGATTTAGTTTGTTTGAGCTGGTGAGCAGATGTTAATGTAATCTGCAGTACTATCAAACTTCAGGTCTGATAGATAGCAAGCTAATATTTACTTTTAAGTGCTCTAAAAATAATTTGTAAAAGCTGCATAAAAAGAATTCCATAAATGTATTGTGATTTTATTTTAACAATTATTCTACACTACAATGGAAGTACATGCTCAAACAAGACACCTCAGCAGTATTTTAAAGCAGTAACCACCTAGCCAATTTCTGTATGTTCTGTAGTTTTTCTAATCCACTCTCCCTGTGGTTGAGCAAAATCGAATTGCCTCTCACATTTGCAGACAGCTCTGTGAAGGTGATAATAGAGCTGCTCCCTGCTGTCATGAGGCAGGAAATAGGAAAATGGCATATGGGGCTAGAAAGAAAGAATAAAAAAAAAAAAAGAAAGAAAGAAAGAACAAACAAACGAACAAAAAAGAAAAACAAAAAAAGAACTAAACAAGAACAAAAGATTTCAACAAAGAACAACTATAACCCAATATGCTTGCAAGTTAATCGCTTTTCAGAATCATTTAGCATATTTAATCATTCATTTGTGTCCTCACTCCAAAAATTCGAATGACTGATACCAAGTCTTTGGGGCAAGTTTTCATTGTCTAAAATATTTGGAACATACAACTCCAGAATATGCCTGCACAATGTCTGCAAAACAGAGCACTTTAACTAGATTTTTTAAATGTGCCAATTCCCAAATTCCCCATTTTAAAATAAAAATAGGTAATGTTTATTAAAATATTAATGAAATGTGTATAGCAGGCTTTTAGTATGGTTTAACATTCCTAAATCCATGAAATAAAATTTAAAGATAAACATTTATAATTAGACAATACCTGATTAAAGTAGAATCAAATCTCTAAATAATACCAAGACACATTTATCAACTTGTACAGTCTTCTTTTTAAAGTAAACAGTCGGGGAGGGGGGAAGGGGTTGTGTAATTAAGAATTCTGCTTTAAAGAAAATAATTTTTATTTAATGTAGCTGTAAACAAAATGTGGCAGTAGATGCTAATAAAGACAGAATCTACTCTACCTTTCCTTTTACACTCTGAATGGGATCCACAACCACTGCCACAGCTCTCTCCGACAAGGCTTCAAAGCTCTGCTGAGTGTTGATATCCACACCAGAAAGCCAACAACCAAAGCCAGGGTGACTGTGATACCAACCAACAACCATCTCCGGCCTGAAACAAAGAGGGCATTCAGCTGTTCAGAACAGAACAAGTAATACATTTATAATATGAAAAGAAACAACATGCTAACTGGGTATATATTAAGAAGAGATGATAAACACACAGGTGTGAAAAAGCACCATTAGAAACACTGAAATCATACACCACACTATCCAGAAAACATGGAAATGAGTAAGTGTGATAAAGGAGTGCTATCATTAAGAGATGCACATTAGCAGTGGTAGATAAGGCTTTCAGTTTTTCACCTTGTTACCACACTTTCTCAGAGCCAGTTTTTACCCTTTCAGCATTCAAGTAAATATCTACTCTTTAACTCCTTAGCTCTGGGAGTTGGATTTTCCAGGCAGAGTATATTTTTTAACAATGGACACCAGGATCCACTGTTGTGAAAAGATTAAATATCAATTAAACCAGCAGTAGAACTAGGAACTCAGTCAAAAACCAATTTGCACTGTTCTGCTCAGCTGCTGAGCCTTTTGCTAACATTAATTTTGAAGTTTTTTCCACAGTAGAAGAATTTGAGCAAGAGAATGACAACTACTGAGAGGTTTAATATAGGGGGGGGGGGACTTGAAGAATATTTGGATTCTATTTGCCCTGTCTTTAAAACTCATATGCCTACAGATATAATTAAATATTCAGAATCTTATTCAGTTGCAACTCTCAAATATATGGAATATAAAATCTCTCAATTATCAGTGACTAGAGAGTAACTCCATATGCTAAACAGAGGGAAGCTACAGCAAAAGCTTACTATGTGATGGTTGAGAATTTTAACATGAAGTCGTTTTCTGATTGGCAAATGTCTTTAATTCTAGATGGAAGAGCGACTAGATAGGTAGTGCCTAGCATTGACAGTGATACTTTTACATTAACTACATGGCTTTTTTTTTTACCCTAGGAATGATATTCATAAACATCCAAAATTTTGAGTTACATTTCTGAAAATATTTTCCATTATCCCTTTATATGATCAGTTAAAATACTTACCTTCCTGTCTGCTTCAGCATATCCAACATTTTGGCTTGGAATACTGGATCAACTGCCTCTACACTGACACCCTGGTTTAAAAAAGAAAGAAAAATAATTAGCTTTTACAACTATAAAAAAAACCTTATGTTACAATGTAAATTAACAAAAAGCTACCCAAGAAAACATAGGTATGTTATTGAGATATCAAAATAACTTTGAGATACCCAAATTTGATATCCACTCCTGTCCTTCAATTATAAAACATATTATCAGTCAAGCTTCTAAAATTGCCAACTACTAAACTGCTGTTAGCTAATGTGTTAAAACAATTTTCAGGAGCCTTTAAGAATTTATGGTCATGTCTCTGTGTGTGTGTGTGTGTGTGTGTGTGTGTGTATATATGCACGCACACGTACGTATTAGAAATACCAAACCATTGAATTAACTATTTTTTGGTTAGACATATCTAGGAAACATATTTCCAAATGCCATCCTTTGATAACTTATGAGTATCTCACCCAAAGTTCCACAACTATTCAGCTATTACAACAATCAACAATTGCAACTTTTTTCCAATAATGTAAACATTTTGAAGAAAGAAAGTAATGCATTAGTTTCCCACAGTTGTTTTTGAGGTGGGTGGATGGGATGGAAAAAGAGGAAGTTAGTTTAGTGCTTCAGTTAGGATGAGTTGGTAGATTAGGTGGTTGGAGGGAAATACATACCTTTGAATTTTACCTCAAATATAAAAGCATTTACACAAAAAATCCCCAGTAGAGACTATCTATCACCAAGTCTTTTAAACGTTGCATTATTTTGCTAGTTCAACCAAAAGAAGATTTTACAACATGGAACTATCAAAGTCTTTCATATCATCTCTTCATAGATAGATCCACTGCCATTATAGCTCCTAAAGGCTTACTTCTAACATCAGGAATTTAAGTCTAATCTACTTAAACAAACCAGTTAACATGAGCATTTTCTTCCCACCAAACAAACAGTATTTTGCATGCAAATTAAGAGTGCATACTCAAGAACAAGGGCATGCAATCTGCTGCCTACAGGCTAAGAAAGGTTTTTTGGTTTTTTTACATTTAAAAGAATATGTCTTTACATAAAAAGTGTGCTAACTCTTGGGCCAGAAGAAAAACTTTTAAATTCTGTTAGAGAAAACATGGGGATCAAAATCTTCTTTTTATATGGTCAAACAAGCATTTATACAGAATATTAAAGTTTAAGATCCCTTTATTATAACGAAAAAGCATATAAGAATCACATATAACAGAAAAAATAGTTAATTTTATGTTTTGTACATTCTAACATGAAAGATAGATACAAATAATAGTCTAATATTCAAATCTAAATCTTTAGTGAATACGTAGTGCATTTTTCTATGTCCAATGTACAAAATAAACATAATGGATAATCAGGACAAAATGAGCAGATCCAAATTAGTTTATCTCATTGCATATTTTTCTATATTTTGCATTATTTACAAATAAACTGCATTCTGTAGCAACTACTCCATTTAAATGCTTATTATACATATATACACACACATATTGCAATATTTTAAAACAAAATTTGTTTTCTCTAGCATCTATTTTATCAAAACATACTTATAGTAAAGAGCCTCAAACAGAGCAGTTTTATGAAAACAATTTTTTAACCTAGATATTTTATAAGGCTCAATAAGAAAAAGATTGAACATTAGAGAAAAAACATCTATCATAAAAATATACATATAGTTTTCTCAGCAAACAGATGAGAAGGATATGTGTGTTTTGAGGAAGGTAGGTAGAATGGTTATTGTTTCTTGGCCATTTTCTTTAAATTGAAATATATACCAATCTACAAGGTATGCAATGCATTGAACAATTCAGAGAAACAGAACATAATCATTGTTACAGAAAAAACAATTCTAAACAGAGAGAGTCAATGACTTTTAAACTCTGTATGTTTCTTCCATAAACATATTACCATGCCTGTGCAAAAGCACTAAAATTTGCCACAGATTTCTTTTTAAACTTAACATTTTGAGTAGAAGCTTAAGAGTCATTTATCACCATATATAGAACATTTTAAAAAGGGCCATATTTCAAAACAATGGGAACAAAATATGAGGATCAGATAATGTATATTGATGAAAATCTAATTAAGAGTCTTAAATCTTTTGAGCCAAGTGTTCAAACTAATCAAATTAATATCCTATAATTTGAGAGTAACTAATTTATAAACCCAGTATGCTATGTTAGTTTAAAACGGATTTAATGTTAGCATCATTCAGTTTGTGGACCTACGGGGAATGATGCACTTAAAACATAAATAATTTAATTCAATACAATCTAGAAATTTCTGTCATTAATCTTATGATGAATTTTTCCTATCAGGAAGAGAAAATATAATATGATGAATGTTATTTTGCATAGGAACAGTAAAGAGAAAAGAAACACATTTACTTGCAGCAGGCAACCATGAAAGTACTCACTGTTCCTGACTGTGGCATAGCAAACACATCAATCACTCTGACGGTGTAATCGTCAACAAATTCTCCAAGCATCAGACCCATAACTTCCATTGGAACTCCAGCACGACCATGTTTTAACATCTGTAAGAAGGAGATATGTGGACACAAAGCTTTGAAATTGTTGTCCTTTTTTTAAAAAAAATTAAGAACCTAATTTTGTTTCAGTGGAAATAAAACAATTCTATTTTATTGATGTAACTAAAACAATAGCTTATGTTTGAGAGCGTTAAGGTGACAAATATTCCAGAGTAAAAGACACAGTGAGAGCAACAGAGCTCTAGCAAATTACTCCATTCAATACTTACCTTTAACAGTGCCAGGGAAGAGATATAGACTTGTTCTGCTGTGTCCACTGCAGGAGCATCTGTAGGTGGCCCCTAGAAACAAGCATATCAACTGTTATAAACACAGAGTTTATGAGTTTTAAATTAAAGTTACAATTTGATTGGCTTTAAGAGTTTTGGGAAAATAAAAAGTATCCTTTTATTCAGGTACAACACAAATAATAAAGCAAGTTTGAAATATCAAATACATAGAAAACAGATCAAGCTCAGTACTAAGGCAAGTAAGTGTCCAATGGACGTAAGGCTTAAATCTTTCAGCATTGCTAACCTACCTCCAATCTAAAATAACCATAATGCATCAATTAGACATGTTTCTTACCGAAATTTGAATGTAAAATGCTGTTAGACTAGCACGATTAACTGAAAAATCAATACAAACAGCAAATTCTCTGAGTATGATTTTTAGCTAAAGACAGTATGTAGATAGGGCTATGAGATCTTTCTGCAGACAGTAGGTGTAGTGGGGGAAGACTTCTAATCCCCAGGTAAATGAGCTGTGAACAACATACTCTACACTTCACTTTATGAAGTTGCTCCCCTCCCCCTATACAACAAATTTAACACAGTAAACCCCAGGTGTGAACAAATTGGTTGAGATGGTATAGCTAACATGAAAATACTTCCAAATCCTGACCACTACCTTTAAAACAAACAGTTGTTCCTAAGGATAAAAAAGAATTGGAAAAAATCAGTAAGTAAAGACAAAGTTGAAGAAAACTTTCTTAATGAAAAGTTAACTTTTGGATCACTAAATATCAGGTAATAATCAATGAAGAAAGTATTATATCTTTTTCCTTTTTTGGTACGTGCCCCTAATGGGAACTGAACCCGGGACTCTCTGGTCCACAGGCCGATGTTCCAACCGCTGAGCCAAACAGGCCAGGGCGAAAGTATTATATCTTGAAAATCTTCAGTTAATCTTAATTGCATGGATAAAACACAATTTCTAAAGCCATACAAGGAAGAAAACGAAATAACCTAAAGGCAAAAATGCAACTTTGGATTTCTTTGCAACATTAAATGTTTGGAGTTTTAAGAGAGAAACCCTTAAAAATCTTATACTCAATTTTTAAGTTGTCTGAAGGCCCACAAATATATTACTGTAAAGGTTCAAAAAACATGATACTATGTATCTTCCTCCCTCAGATAACTTTTTAATAAATGATCCAGCTGAACCCCAAAAATCAAAATTAGAACCTTAAAAATAAAAAAGCCATCATATAGACTTTGACTATTACAGAAATATGGATTTCAAAAGTTTTTTGAACTTAACAATAACCATGATAAACGTTAAAGGTGAATGTACACCTTAGCAAAAGGCATACTTAGCAAAAAGAGAAGAAAAGGCAAACTCAGCACTGACATAAAAAAACAAAACAAAAACAGTACAGAACCAGAAAGGGAGTAAAGAAAAATAGCAAACAACATAAGGTATGATCAACTATAGCAGTAATGAAAAAATAGAAGTAAAGTCCCTTGTTAAAGGTCTCTTGCAATGGCTTTAAGATAGATATTCATGCCCTGGCCAGTATGGGTCAGTGGTTAGAGCATCGGCTCATGGACCAAAGGATCACCAGTTAGATCCCAGCCCTGGTCGGGGCACATGTGGGAGGCAACCAATCGATGTGTCTCTCTCACATCGATGTTTCTATCTCTTTCTATCTTTCTTTCTTTCTCTCTCTCTCCCTCTCTCCCCCTCTCTTCCCCTCTCTCTAAAAATCAATGGAAAATACATCCTCAGGTGAGAATTAAAAAATAAATAAAAAAGATATTCATGTATATGCTGTTTACAAAGAAAAAAACAAAAGATTGGTGAGATTTGTCTGTCAGTGACATACCTATATATTTTTTTGTAAAAGAAGCCACAATGACCACTATTTTTCACTCACCCTGCCTTTCTTCAGTGATGTATTATTACACTAATAGATTTCCGGGTGTTAATGACCTTTGCACTTCCAGGATAAGATGTTCAAGTTTGGTTTTTGGTTAACATTTTTTTTTTTTACTTAAGGTTTTTATTTCCTTATTCATAAGTGAGATTGGTCTGGCATTTTCTTTTTTCTGTTAGATTTCTCAGGTTTTTTTTAATCACTATGCTAGATTTATAAAATAAAATATTTTATAATTTCCTATTTTCTTTATGATTTTTTTTAGAGAGAGGAAAAGGGCGAGGGAGAGATAGAAACTTGATGAGAGAGAATATTGACTAGACGCCTCCTGCATGCCCCCTACTGGGGATTTGGCCCACAACCTGGGCATGTGCCCTGACCAGAAACCGAACAAGCGACCTCTTCGTGCATGGGTCGATGCTCAACCACTGAGCCACACCAGCCAGGCTATAATTTCCCATTTTCCGTGTTCTAATAATATTTATATATATACACACTAAATTATCCATATCTTTAAAAAATTTGAAGAGTTCATTAGTAAAATATTTGTCTTTGAAGCTGACTTTGGAGCTAATTGTTATAACTTTTTCAGTGGTATTTAGGTTACTTACGTCTTCAGACATAGGGTTCATTTCATTTAGATTTCAAAGTTATCACCACAGAACTGAACATATTCTATTTTAATTATTCTTTTGTTTGATACCAAAAATATATAAAACTAAATGTTTTCCCACATCACATTATAATACCACCCAGAAAAATTAATGATTTACATTCTTAAAAAAATAAAATCATAACAAAAACTATGCTAAAAATATTGAAGGAAACATTTCCCAATTCAATCTAAGAGTCAACATTATCCTGATATCAAAGTCAGACAAAGATAGAACAAGAAAACTATAGACTAATATCTCTTATGAACATTGGTGCAAAAATCCTCAGCAAAATACCAGCAAACAGAACTCAGCAGCATATTAAAAGGATTATACACGTGACCAAGAGGAATTTATGCCTGCAGTGCAAGGATGGTTCAACATGCAAAAACGGACCAATGTAATATGCCACATCAACAGAATGAAGGAAAAAACACGATCATCTCAACTAATGCAGAACATGGATCTGACAAAATTCAACACCTTTTTACAATAAAAACGTTCAACAAACTAGAAACAGAAGGAAATCACCTCAACAGAATAAAAGCCATAGATGAAAAACACAAGACTCCATAAGTGAAGACTGGAAGCGCTTACCACTTCTATTAAACATAGCACTGAAAGTTCTATCCAGAGTAATTAGGCAAGAAAAAGAAATAAAAGACATTGAAATTGAAAAGAAGTAAAAGTATCTGTTTGCAGGTGACACTCTTATATAGTTATACATATATATATATTTCCCAACAACAACAAAACCATGTTAGAATAAACTAATTCGGCAAAATAGCAGACTACAAAGACAACACACAAAACTCACTTGTCTTTCTATGTATGAACAATCCGAAAAGGAAATTATAAAAACAATTCCATTGCCCAGCCGGTGTGGCTCTGTGGTTGAGCACTGGACCCATGCACCAAGAGGTTCAATTCCTGGTCAGGGCAAACACCCAGGTTATGGGACCGATCCCCAGTGTGGTGCATGCAGGAGGCGGCCAATGGATGTTCTCCCTCATCAATGTTTCTCTCTCACTCTCCTTCTCCTTTCCTCTCTAAAAAAATCAATAAAGAAAGAAACATTTTTAAAAATTCCATTTATAACAATATCAAAAAGAATAAAATACGTATACATTAACGTAACCAAAGATTAAGTAAAAGATTTGTATAACAAAAACTATAAAACATTTCTGCAAAAAATTAAAGAAGACATAAATAAATGAAAACATATCTCGTGTTCATGGATTCAAGGACTTACTATTGTTAAAATGTCAGTATTATCCAAAGTGATCTATAGTTTCCATGCAATCTCTATCAAAATCCCAATGATATATTTTGCAGAAACAGAAAATCTCATCTTAAAAAATCATACAGACTCTCAAATGACCATGAATAGACAAAAACAATTCTAGGGAAAATAAAAGAACAAAACTAGAGGATTCAAAGTTCCTGATTTCAAAACTTACTACAAAGGTACAATAACCAAACAGTGTGACACTGGCATAAAGACAGACATACGGATCAATGGAATAGAATAGAGAACCCAGAAATAAATCATCATTTAGAAAGGAAAGGACAGTCTTTTCAACAAATGGTGCTAAGAAAACTGGATATCCACATGCAAAAGAATGAAGCTAGAACCTTACCTAACACCATACAGAAATGAACTCAAAATGGATCAAGGACATAAATGTGAGACCTAAAACAATAACAGAAGAAAACATAGGACAAAAGCTTCATAACACTGATTTGGCAATGATTTCTTGGATATGACATCAAAGGCACAAGTAATAAAAGACAAAATACACATTGGACTTCATAAAATTAAAACACTTTGTGCATCACCCTGGCCGGTATGGCTCAGTTGGTTAGAGCACTGGCCTGTGCACTGAAGGGTCATGGGTTCGATTCCTGCTTGGGACACATACAGGAGGCAATCAACTGATATGTCTCTCACACATCGATGTTTCTCTCTCCCTCTCTCGAATCAATGAGAAACATATCCCTGGGTCAAGACACTATCGACAGAGTAAAAAGGCAATCCACAGAATGGGAGAAAATACCTCTAAATTATACATCTGACAAGGGATTAATATCCAGAATATACTATAGAGAATTCTTGAAACTCAAAAAACAAAACAAAACAAAACAAAACAAAACAAAACAACTTGATTCAAAAATGGGCAAAGAACTGAATAGACATTTCTCCAAGGAAGATACACAAATGGCCAACCAGGACATGAAAAGATGCTCAACATCACTGATCATTAGGAAAATGCCAATCAAATCTACAATGAGATTACACCCATTAGGATGGCTACTATAAAACAACAACAACAACAGAAAACAAGGATGTGAAAAAACTGGAACCCCTGTGTACTGGTGGGAATATAAAATGGTACAGTCACTATAGAAAACGTATGGTGGCTCTTTAAAAATTAAAAATAGAATACCATAGAATGCAGCAATTCCACTTTGGGATATCTACCCAAAAGAA